ACCGCCATCACCACCAACACCACCATTATTATCATCACCACCATCGTGATGACCACCACCATCATCATCATCATCATCACCATCATGACTACCACTATAACCACCACCACCACCCTTATCATCACCACCTTCATCAACACCAACACCACCACCATGAACACTACCACCACCACCATCATTATTATCACCACCATTATGATGACCACCACCATCATGACCACTATCATAACCACCACCACCACCACCACCCCCATCATCACCACCATCATCATCACCACCATCACCACCAACACCACCACCATGAACACTACCACCACCACCACCATTATTATCATCACCACCATCATGACGACCACCATGACCACTACCACTACCGCCACCACCACCACCAGCACTATCATTACACCACCATCATCACCATCACCACCACTATGACTATTAGCATGACCATCACCACCACCACCATCATCATCACTATTATCATCAACACAAGAGTCAGACCCAGAGCAGAGAGCACCTCAGAGCCCCTTTGAGAGCAGGCAAACTCTGAACTTCAGAGCAGAGATAGAAGAAGTGGTTGGATCTTTTCCAGTTTGACAATTCTGGGAATCTTGTCCCCCGTGTGCTGTCCTCCCTCGTAACGGGTGGGTTCGTGGATGCCTCCTTATTTGTGCTCAGTGTCCTGGGCACTGGCTTCATTGGAATTCTGCCCTTTCCCCAGCCTTGCCTTGGCTGCATGCCAGGTAAATGACGCGGAGCCCATCCTGCCTCTAGTCACCTCTGCCACCCGCTCAGATAATTAGAATCAACACATCCATTTCCCTAATGGCATTCTCATCTTCCTCCCCGAAAAGTTTTCAAATAGAAAAAGAAAGGCAAAAACAAGCTACAACTGTCCTTGTTTGGGCAATTTGCAGCTCTCCACAGCTGACATCCACCCAGCTTTGTGGCGGAGCGGAGCTAGGTGGGAGATGATGTGGTCAGTGCTGTTATTAAGTTTGGCAGCGATTTGGAGACAAAGCGTCCTGCTGGAGAGAGGCTTATAAACAAATACTCAAGGGGAATCCTTTAGGCTCCAGCCTTTGTGAGCTCATTGCTGGTGGGTGGGGAGAAAAAAAAGAAGCCTAATGTCACTTCTCAGCAAACAAAAGGAAAGGAACTCAGGAAATAAGATGGGTTTCACTTCTTCCCAAGAGCCTGCCCAAATGTCCTGTGTTGTGCCCAGGTAGCAATTGGATGCTTTTCACCAGGGATCAGCAAATGTTTTCTGTAAAGGGTCAGGGCGTAAATATCTTAGACTTTGCAGCCTATATAATTTGTCACAAAACACTGCACATTGTTGTGCGAAAGAAGCCATAAACAATACACAAATGAATGGGCATATGTCTTCCAATAAAACTTTATTTACAAAACAAACCAACAAAACCACAGGCTGTGCCTTTTTGACTCCTGTTCTAAGCTCTAGTGGAAGGAAAAATAGAATAGGAGACAGACCGCAGAGCTAGATTTAAATCCTGGTTCCAGCCTTTCCAGACTGTGTGTCCAGGGCAAGTCCACCTGTCTTTTCTGAGCCTCAGTTTCCTCATCTTTAAAATGTGTTATAACATAGTCAGGTGATTTACAAGTGTTTGGCACATTTTAAAGGTCAAAAAATAATAAGTGTCCCTACCTACCCCGTGTTCATTATAGAGCACTGCCTCAGCTGGAAAACCCCAAGGACACAAATCAGCAGTCTGTATACACACTTCTGTTGTGAGAGTGAACAGTAGGTTGTGGGTTAATGTCAGGCCATCATGAGACACTGAGAGTCAAGGACACTGCACTGTTCCGAGCCTAATAATTATGTTTGCATTTTAACTGGAATGGCTTTCAGAAGGGATCTTTGGGAGAATTCTGACTTTTGTGAGATGATGCTAATAGTTAAGACATACTTAACCAGAGCAGGGGAAGGGACTCCTTTTCATAGAAAAAGTATAAAAAGAACCTTGATTTGTGATCCCATGGTTGGTTGGTCGGTTGGTTTCCATTATGGATTTTAGCTGAAGGTTGATTTTAAGTTGAGTTGTATATAGTTTATATTTACTTGGTTTTTTTTTAACTGCTGTTATTTATATAACAGCTTGACATTTATGCCAGGCATGTTTTATGCCTTATATTATTTATTTCTCCCAAATCCCCTGGGACCTACTGCCTGCTTTTCAAAGTGTGGCTCACAGATGAGTGGTCATGGCTACAGAAATGCAGAATCCCAGGCCCCACGCCACACCTTTGCGCATTTTAACAAGACCCTCAGTGGTGCACGTAGACACAAGGAATCCTAATATAGACACTGCATCATGGTTATATTACAGATCAGGAGACAGAGGCTGAGAGAGGTGACAGACAGAGCTTCCCCCCCTCCAGACCCTGACCACACAGTCGACTACCCTATTTAGTTTATGGTTCCTGCCTCTGTATTAGTGATATGGTTATTTTGCTTCTCTAACCTTTCCGCCCAGCTAACCGTGTACTTCCTGTTGTTAGGCATCCCTTTCTTCTTGACTCTTCCATTGTGGGGGTCCAAAAGTTAACCACACACCCAGTAGGTGCTCAAATATCTGCTGTCTGGTTGAGTGACTCCATCAAACATTTGCATATGCAAAACTGAAGGCCTGCTATTTAAAAAAAAATGGGGTTGGGAGCTGCCAGTTGTAATCAGTAGGGTGTCCTGGGCACATGTGCCTTTCAGTGCTGAGTCTTTAGAATATAGAATAATAACCTCTCTTGGAGGGTTAGAAGCATAAACACCTTGACCCCAAGGGCTCTAAGAAGCTTCAGGTTTCTCTAGTTTTGTCTTCTGGAGTGATAACTTCAGCAATCAGGACAGGTGAGGCACAGTGATTTCCCCAGTGTTTAGATTATTCTATTTTAGTTTTTAATTTTAAAGTAATCTCTGTGCCCAGTGTGGGGCTTCGAACTCATGGCCCTGAGATTAAGAGTCCCATGCTCCATCAACTGAGCCAGCAAGGCTCCCCTAGGTTCTTTTCTATCTCCCTAGAACATATGCGAATCCCCTAGAGAGGTGGTCTCCAAATATGTCTGCCAGCAGCCTCATGGAGCTATTTAAATTTACGTTCATTAAAATTAAATACGATTAGGACACAGCTGTTGACTTGCACGGGCCACGTATCAAACACTCAGTAGCCACCTGTGGCCAGCAGCTATAATCTGGCACCAACATAACCTTTTGGCATGTAATCTGAATTCTTCCCCTTTGTTCCAGTCTTATTCGCGGTTCCTCCCCGACCTCTTCCCCGGGGTGAAGCCAGCCAGGCCACATGCACTTCCTTTCCAATTCCCTCTTTGGGCCACTTATGGCTCTTCTCATGGCCAGAAGGAGGGGGACTTGGTTTTGGAGCAAGAAGTACAAGGCTATGCTCAAGATAGCCTCACTGAGCCGTCAACTCCTTTAGGTTAAACCCCACTTGTGCCTTGGGCCACCCTGGTCTTGGGATGGCAAGGACACCTACATTGTCATCTAGTCTCTGTATTTCATCCATTTTTCCACAGGGCGCCACCGCCCTGCATTTTTTGAAAAATAAGTTTTACAGCTAAACTCTTTTATGCCTGTAAGTTAACTTTCAAACCTTCCTCTCCTCTGATATGACTTCCTAACAACATGGTTGCCCAACATTTAGACCTGTGGAATCTTAGCATTTGGAATGATAGCATCCTAGAGATACTATGGTATCTAAGACCTTAGAATCTTCAAGGTAGAAAATCTTAGGACTCGTAGAAGCTTGAATCATTAGACATACATAATAGTAAAATCTTATTAGGTTGAACCATACAAAATTTCCATTTGTATATAAAATGGTTGACTATAGTTGATTTCACACGGTTCAGCCTAATAAAAGTATGGACTATTGAAAGTCATACATTCTTAGAATTATTCACTCCCAAAAGCTACTGAATTTTAGAACCCTAAGATTTTAGAACAGGGACCGGTAAATTTTTTCCCCCAAGGTCCAGAGGGTAAATATTTTCAGCTTTGTGCACCACAGACTCTCTCTCAACCTCTGAATCCTGAAAGCATCCACACAGACAATACATAAATGAATGTGTGGTTGTGTTCCAATAAAACTTTATTTACAAAGACAGACACAGGCCAGATTGGAATTGCAGGCCATAGTTTGCTGCCCCTGTTTTGGAACATAAAAGCTGAAAGGGTTCCATCAAGCACTTGGATTTGCACAGGAAACTCCTAGACCTACTTTCAGAGGTCCTGAAGGGCCTCATTCAAATGTGGAGACATTTTTTTTTTTAATGTTTATTTTATCTTTGAGAGAGAGAGTGAGCAGAGGATGGGCAGAGAGAGAGGGAGACAGAGGATCTCAAGCAGGCTCTGTGAGAACAGCAGAGAGTCTGATGTGGGGCTCAAACCCATGAACCGTGAGATCATGACCTGAGCCAAAGTTGGACACTCAACCAATTGAGCCCCCGAGGCAGCCCCAAACGTGGAGACATTTTAAGGAATTTTGCTTAGTTCAGACCACTGTCTCTCCCGGGGCAGCATGTGGCCTCCAGAGAGGGAGTGAGGAGAAGGAGGAGCCTCTGGAGCCTGTTGCTAACATGTTCCCTGGCCCTGGGAGGGAGTCAAAGCCATGTGTCTACCCTGAGGGGAATGAACGAGGCCTGCCTTCCAGCAGCCCCAGCCCCTCTGAGGCCAGCAGCCCCTCTGAGCCAAGCCCCTCAATGAGAAGGTCCAGATGACCCTGCGTGCTGGAGAGGGCAGGATGGATAGAGCTGGCAAGAGCCAGGGGTGGGGGGAGGGTGGGATGGAGGGCAGCAGCGAGGTGGATTTGATGAAGCTGTTCGTCCAGGTGGCATGGGCCACAACCTTGATATGTGGAGGAGAAAAGAGAGATCGCACACTGCTTAGCGATCGTTTCTTTCCCGCTGAGTCAATAAATGAATAAATGGACCACGAGTGGCCAAGTGGCTGATATAATTTTAGACTCCATCAAAAGGAAGATCACAAAAGTGTATGGAGGGAGCTTCCACGTCTCTGTGTCCCCCCGCGGGGAGCCTGGGCTTCCTAATGTTACAGTCTGGGAGGCATCTCAAAGGAGGACAGGGCAATCTGGGGACATTTACTGCCTGTCTGCTACATGGCTGACACAGTGCAAAGTGCTTTCCACGCTTCCCACAATTTGTCTCATGAAATCGGCACTTCCAACCTCATGAGCCAGGTAATATTTTTTTTTCCCCTTTATTTTACACAATTTTTTTTTAAAAAAGCGTTTAAAAAGACGAAGTGACTTGCCCAAGGCTAAATAAGTAGGAAAGATTAGCGCCGGGACATGGAATTGGTCTCCTGGACTTCGAAACCTTCGCGCCCAATCAAGATGTTGCTATTTCGTGAAGGAACATCACGATGCATGTGGATCACCTCGGGGTACTGTTAAGACGCAGAGCCTACGTCAGCACATCTGGGGCAGGGCCTGAGAATCTG